TAATAATATTTAGCATTTATATAACACTTTTCACGTTGGAAGTGCTTTGCAAGCAATTTATTTACTTTTAGCTAGCTTTGTAGTGTCATGTAGGTTTTTAAAGATGATTAGAAGTCTGTAGCTTTTTCCCATTTAGCATTTTAATAACTTTCATAATACTGCATGTTAAATGGATTCTCAAGTTGTTTCAATAGTACATTTTACCATCCATAAATTTGTCATAATCCCATGGGGAATATTTTGCAGATTCTAAATACTTTTTTTTAAAATCAATACTCCTACCCTGTGAATTACACAGAAACAGCCATTATTTGTGGAGGACACCTATAGACCTTCCTACCAAGACTACAAGAAGAAGGATTCTGGGTGGACTCCTCCTGAAGGTCGAAACAACAGACTGGACTTCTACATAGAGTGCTTCTGCCGACGTGTACGGGCTGAAATTGTGGAAAAGCACCATCACTTGCCCCATAACCTCAGCCGTGCAGAACACAATGCCACCCACAGCCTCAGAAACAACTCTGACATCATAATCAAAAAGGCTGACAAAGGAGGTGCTGTCGTCATCATGAATAGGTCGGAATATGAACAAGAGGCCACTAGGCAGCTCTCCAACACCACTTTCTACAAGCCATTACCCACTGATCCCACTGAGGGTTACCAAAAGAAACTACACCATTTGCTCAAGAAACTCCCTGAAAAAGCATAAGTACAAATCCGCACAGACACCCCTGGAACCCCGACCTAGGGTATTCTATCTGCTACCCAAGATCCATAAACCTGGAAATCCTGGATGCCCCATCATCTCAGGCACTGGCACCCTGACAGCAGGATTGTCTGGCTATGTAGACTCCCTCCTCAGGCCCTACATTACCAGCACTCCCAGCTATCTTCAAGACACCACTGACTTCCTGAGGAAACTACAATCCATCGGTGATCTTCCTGAAAACACCATCCTGGCCACTATGGATGTAAAAGCCCTCCACACCAACATTCCACACAAAGATGGACTACAAGCCATCAGGAACAGTATCCCCGATAATGTCACGGCAAACCTGGTAGCTGAACTTCGTGACTTTGTCCTCACCCATAACTATTTCACATTTGGGGACAATGTATACCTTCAAATCAGCGGCACTGCTAATGGGTACCCGCATGGCCCCACAGTATGCCAACATTTTTATGGCTGACTTAGAACAAACCTTCCTCAGCTCTCGTCCCCTAACGCCCCTACTCTACTTGCGCTACATTGATGACATCATCATCATCTGGACCCATGGAAAAGAAGCCCTTCAGGAATTCCACCATGATTTCAACAATTTCCATCCCACCATCAACCTCAGCCTGGACCAGTCCACACAAGAGATCCACTTCCTGGACACTACTGTGCTAATAAGCGATGGTCACATAAACGCCCTCCTATACCGGAAACCTACTGACTGCTATGCTTACCTACATGCCGCCAGCTTTCATCCAGACCACACCACACAATCCATTGTCTACAGCCAAGCTCTACGATACAACCGCATTTGCTCCAACCCCTCAGACAGAGACAAACACCTACAAAATCTCTATCAAGCATTCTTACAACTATAATACCCACCTGCTAAAGTGAAGAAACATATTTACAGAGCCAGAAGAGTACCCAGAAGTCACCTACTACAGGACAGGCCCAACAAAACAAATAACAGAACGCCAAAAGCCATCACCTTCTGCCCCCAACTAAAACCTCTCCAACGCATCATCAAGGATCTACAATCTATCCTGAAGGACGACCCATCACTCTCACAGATCTTGGGAGACAGGCCAGTCCTTGCTTACAGACAGCCCCCCAACCTGAAGCAAATACTCACCAGCAACCACACACTACACAACAGAACCACTAACCCAAGAACCTATCCTTGCAACAAAGCCCGTTGCCAACTGTGTCCACATATCTATTCAGGGGACACCATCTTAGGGCCTAATCACATCAGCCACACTATCAGAGGCTTGTTCACCTGCACATCTACCAATGTGATATATGCCATCATGTGCCAGCTATGCCCCTCTGCCATGTACATTGGTCAAACTGGACAGTCTCTATGTAAAAGAATAAATGGACACAAATCAGACGTCAAGAATTATAACATTCAAAAACCAGTTGGAGAACACTTCAATCTCTCTGGTCACGCAATTACAGACCTAAAAGTTGTAATTCTTCAACAAAAAAACTTCAAAAACAGACTCCAACAAGAGACTGCTGAATTGGAATTAATTTTCAGACTGGATACAATTAACTTAGGCTTGAATAGAGACTGGGAGTGGATGGGTCATTACACAAAGTAGAACTATTTCCCCATGTTTATTTCCCTGCCTCCACCCCCCACTGTTCCTCAGATGTTCTTGTCAACTGCTGGAAATGGCCCACCTTGATTATCACTACAAAAGGTTTTTCTCCCCCTGCTCTCCTGCTTGTAATAGCTCACCTTAAGTGATCTTGTTACAGTGTGTATGGTAAGACCCATTGTTTCATGTTCTCTATGGGTATGTCTACACTACAAAATTAGGTCGAATTTATAGAAGTCGGTTTTGTAGAAAGCGGTTTTATACAGTTGATTGTGTGTGTCCCCACACAAGTGCTCTAAGTGCATGTAGTCGGCGGAGTGTGTCCACAGTAGCGAGGCAACTGTCGACTTCCGGAGCGTTGCACTGTGGGTGGCTATCCCACAGTTCCCGCAGTCTCCGCCGCCCATCTGAAATCTAGGTAGAAATCTCAGTGCCTGATGGGGCTAAAACATTGTTGCGGGTGGTTCTGGGTACATATCGTCAGGCCCCCGTTCCCTCCCTCCCTCCGTGAAAGCAAGGGCAGACAATTGTTTTGTGCCTTTTTTCTTGAGTTACCTGTGCAGATGCCATACCACGGCAAGCATAGAGCCCGCTCAGCAAACCGTCACCGTATGTCTCCTGGGTGCTGGCAGATGTGGTACTGCATTGCTACCCAGCAGCAGTTAATTGCCTTTTGGCAGCAGACAGTGCAGTATGACTGGTAGCCGTCACCGACGTAGTCCTGGGTGCTCTTTTAATCGGGCACCTGGACAAACATGAGAGTGACTCAGCCAGGTCATTTCCCTTTTAAGTTTCGTCTCATGGTGATTCAGTCCTACCGGCAGTGCACTATCTTTTAACCTCCAGCCAGCAAAAGATGATGGCTAGTCGTCATACTGCACCGTCTTCTGCCGAGCACCCAGGAGATGATGACAGCTAGCTGTCGTACTGCACAGTCTGCCGCCAGCAAGATGTATAAGGATAGATGAAGTGGCTCAAAACAAGAAATAGATCAGATTTGTTTTGTATTCATTTTCTCTTCCTTCCCTCTGTGAAATCAATGGCCTGCCAAACCCAGTTTTGAGTTCTATCCTTGAGGTTTTGAGTTCTATTGTTGAGGGGGCCATTCAGTTTTTCACAAAGCCACCCCCTTTGTTGATTTTAATTTCCTGTAAGCCAACCCTGTAAGCCATGTCGTCAGTTGCCCCTCCCTCCGTCAGGGCAACGGCAGACAATCGTTCCGCACCTTTTTTCTGTGCAGACGCCATACCACGGCAAGCATGGAGCCCGCTCAGATCACTTTGGCAGTTAGGAGCACAGTAAACACCACGCACATTATCCAGCAGTATATGCAGCACCAGAACCTGGCAAAGCAAAACCAGGCGAGTAGGAGATGTCAGCGTGGTAACATGAGTGATGAGGACATGGACACAGACTTCTCTCAAAGCATGGGCCCTGGCAATGTGGGCATGCTGGTGCTAATGGGCCAGGTTCATGCGGTGGAACGCTGATTCTGGGCTTGGGAAACAAGCACAGACTGGTGGGACCGCATAGTGTTGCAGTCTGGGATGATTCCCAGTGGTTGCGAAACTTTTGCATGCATAAGGGCACTTTTATGGAACTTTGTGACTTGCTTTCCCCTGCCCTGAGGCGCAAGAATACCAAGATGAGAGCAGCCCTCACAGTGAGAAGCGAGTGGCAATAGCCCTGTGGAAGCTTGCAATGCCAGACAGCTACCGGTCAGTCGGGACTCAATTTGGAGTGGGCAAATCTACTGTGGGGGCTGCTATGATGCAAGTAGCCAACACAATCAAAGATCTGCTGATATCAAGGGTAGCGACCCTGGGAAATGTGCAGGTCATAGTGGATGGCTTTGCTGCAATGGGATTCCCTAACTGTGGTGGGGCCATAGACGGAACCCATATCCCTATCTTGGCACCGGAGCACCAAGCCGGCGAGTACATAAACCTCAAGGGGTACTTTTCAATAGTGCTGCAAGCACTGGTGGATCACAAGGGACGTTTCACCAACATCAACGTGGGATGGCCAAGAAAGGTACATGACGCTCGCATCTTCAGGAACTCTGGTCTGTTTCAAAAGCTGCAAGAAGGGACTTTATTCCCAGACCAGAAAATAACGGTTGGGGACGCTGAAATGCCTATATGTATCCTTGGGGACCCAGCCTACCCCTTAATACCATGGCTTATGAAGCCATACACAGGCAGCCTGGACAGTAGTCAGGAGCTGTTCAACTACAGGCTGAGCAAGTGCAGAATGGTGGTAGCATGTGCATTCGGACGTTTAAAAGCGCGCTGGCGCAGTTAACTGACTCGGTTAGACCTCAGCGAAACCAGTATTCCCACTGTTATTACTGCTTGCTGTGCGCTCCATAATATCTGTGAGAGTAAGGGGGAGACGTTTATGGTGGGGTGGGAGGTTGAGGCAAATCACCTGGCTGCTGGTTTTGCACAGCCAGACACCAGGGCGGTTAGAAGAGCACAGGAGGGTGCAGTGCGCATCAGAGAAGCTTTGAAAACCAGTTTCATGACTGGACAGGCTATGGTGTGAAAGTTCTGCTTGTTTCTCCATGATGAAACCCACCGCCCCTTGGTTTACTCAACTTCCCTGTAAGCTAACCACCCTCCCCTCCTCCCTTCGATCATTGCTGTCAGAGGCAATAAAGTCATTGTTGCTTCACATTCATGCATTCTTTATTCATTCATCACACAAACAGGGGGATAACTACCAAGGTAGCCCAGGAGGGGTGGTGGAGGAGAGAAGCACCAGGAGGGGTGGTGGAGGAGGGAAGGACAAGGCCACACAGCACTTTAAAAGTTTAAAATTTTAAAACTTATTGAATGCCAGCCTTCTGTTGCTTGGGCAATCCTCTGGGGTGGAGTAGCCGGAGGCCCCCCCACCGCGTTCTTAGGCGTCAGGGTGAGGAGGCTATGGAACTTGGGGAGGAGGGGGGTTGGTTACACAGGGGCTGTAGTGGCGGTCTGTGCTCCTGCTGCCTTTCCTGCAGCTCAACCATACACTGGAGCATATTGGTTTGATCCTCCAGCAGCCTCAGCATTGAATCCTGCCTCCTCTCATCACGCTGCCGCCACATTTGAGCTTCAACCCTCTCTTCAGCCCGCCACTTACTCTCTTCAGCCTGCCACTTACTCTCTTCAGCCCGCCACCTCTCCTCCCGGTCATATTGTGCTTTCCTGCACTCTGACATTGTCTGCCTCCACGCAATCGTCTGTGCTATGTCAGTGTGGGAGGACACCATGAGCTCAGAGAACATGTCATCATGAGTGCGTTTTTTTCGCCTTCTAATCTTCATTAGCTCCTGGGAAGGAGAAGATCCTGTGATCATTGAAACACATGCAGCTAGTGGAGAAAAAAAAAGAGGCAGTGATATTTAAAAAGACACATTTTCTAGAACAATGGCTACAGTCTTTCACGGTAAACCTTGCTGTTAACATTACATACACAGCACATGTGCTTTCGTTTCAAGGCTGCATTTTGCCTCCCTCCACCACGTGGATAGCCCCTCATACCCACCCCCGGCTAAAAGTGGGGAACATTTCTGTTCAGCCACAGGCAAACAGCCCAGCAGGAACGGGCACCTCTGCATGTCCACTTAAGAAAAGCACCCTATTTCAACCAGGTGACCATGAATGATATCACTCTCCTGAGGATAACACAGAGAGATAAAGAACGGATGTTGTTTGAACGCCAGCAAACATACACTGCAATGCTTTGTTCTACAATGATTCCCGAGTACGTGCTACTGGCCTGACGTGGTAAAGTGTCCTACTATGGTGGGTGGAATAAGGCTGCCCTCCCCAGAAACCTTTTGCCAAGGCTTTGGGAGTACATCCGGGAGAGCTGCAAATGCCAGGGCAAATTAATCCTTTCACATGCTTGCTTTTAAACCATGTATAGTATTTTAAAAGGTACACTCACCGGAGGTCCCTTCTCCACCTGGCGGGTCCAGGAGGCAGCCTTGGGTGGGTCCGGGGGGCGACTGCCTCCATGTCCAGGGTGAGAAACAGTTCCTGGCTGTCGGGAAAACCGGTTTCTCCTCTTGCTTGCTGTGAGCTATCTACAACTTCATCATCATCATCTTTCTCGTCCCCAAAACCTGCTTCTGTGTTGCCTCCATCTCCATTGAAGGAGTCAAACAACACGGCTGGGGTAGTGGTGGCTGAACCCCCTAAAATGGCATGCAGCTCATCATAGAAGCGGCATGTTTGGGGCTCTGACCCGGAGCGGCTGTTCGCCTCTCTGGTTTTCTGGTAGGTTAGCCTCAGCTCCTTAAGTTTCACGCAGCATTGCTTCGGGTCCCTGTTATGGCCTCTGTCCTTCATGCCCTGGGAGATTTTGACAAATGTTTTGGCATTTCGAAAACTGGAACGGAGTTCTGATAGCACGGATTCCTCTCTCTATACAGTGATCAGATCCCGTACCTCCCGTTCGGTCCATGCTGGAGCTCTTTTGCGATTCTGGGACTCCATCATGGTCACCTCTGCTGATGAGCTCTGGCCAGCGTGGCAAGCTGCAGGTGACCATGCAAACAGGAAATTGAAATTCAGAAGTTCGCGGGCCTTTTCCTGTGTACCTGGCCAGTGCATCTAAGTTGAGATGTCCAGAGCGGTCACAATAGAGCACTCTGGGATAGCTCCCGGAGGCCAATACCATCTAATTGCGTCCACAGTACCCCAAATTCGACCTGGCAAGGCCGATTTAAGCGCTAATCCACTTGTCAGAGGTGGATTAAGGAAATCGATTTTAATAGCCCTTTAAGTAAAAAAAAAAAGGGCTTCATCGTGTGGACGGGTGCAGGTTTACATCGATTTAACAGCTGTAAATTCGACCTAAACTCCTAGTGTAGACCAGGGCTATGTATATAAATCTCCCCACTGTATTCTCCACTGAATGCATCTGATGAAGTGAGCTGTAGCTCACGAAAGCTTATGCTCAAATAAATTTGTTAGTCTCTAAGGTGCCACAAGTACTCCTTTTCTTTTTGCGAATACAGACTAACATGGCTGCTACTCTGAAACCTATAGATCTATGAGATGTCTACCTATTTACTCTGCAGCTACCATTGATATATTGTTCCTAAACTATTCTGTTTATATACCATGTTTAGTAACAGTGGTAACCAAACAAGCATTATGTGAACTTGCTGACAGTGGGCTGATGCTGTTAAATACAATACAGAGAAAAAAAGAGAGGACACAAGAGTTAATTAAAAGACATTCACTGTAGTTACAACTTTGCAAAGTGACAGAATACAACACTACCTAGCCCTTTTATAGCCATTTTCATCAGTAAATGTTAGAGCACTTTAAAATGGAGATCAGTATAATTATTGTGGCTGGGGAAACCAAGACACAGAGAGGTGAAATGACTTTCTCAAGGCCACACAGCATGCCATTGACAGAACTGGGAATAGGTCCCGGGCCTCCAAAGTCCCAGTCCAGTGCTCTATCCAGTAATCAACACTACCTCTCTCCTACAGACAAAAGCTACTATCTTTTAAAGAGGTATCTGTAGCAAAACTATTGGTAGTTCTAAAACATTTCTTAGCCACAGGGAGGAATTAGTGGACCAATGACTGTCAGCTGTACCTGGCAATAATGCATTGACAGTAGCCTAAATTATATTCCACACACTGTGTGGTTCTGAAGTGCTCTCATTTCACTGGATACTTAAAGTGGACTATCTGACCATGTTCATCTCTCAAACCTGGGATCTGACTGCATGGTAGAGTATTGGGGGCCCATCCCTGGTCCTCTCTCCCTACATCTTCTGCACTAACCTAATTACAAGTTACTACAGCCCTAGGGGAAACTCCCTTGCCCACTATGGTCCTAGTGGCAGGGAAAAAAAGAAAATCAGAATATCTGTACAGCTGTTTGATAGGAAGGGCATGTTAATTCCCATGAGTTCCTTGCTCTGTGAGTAGCTGTGCATTTCCTACACAGAACAGGCACAGTGTCACAGGTCCCAGTCAACTGTCCCTTGTGGTCGCTCACTAGACTGCTGAGAGGAGAATCCAAGCCTCTGGATCCCAAGATGTTCTAAACATCTCAAAGCCTAAACAGCATCCAGCTACTGTCCCAGTCTTTGGGGTCCTTAGGCACACTCTAAGGCAGAGACCATCTGCCTAACTCCTGGGCTCAGTACTGAGTCTTTAGATTCCCCTGTAGCTTAAACACAACCTCTCCCAGATCTCCACCCTAAGGTGTGACCCTTCTGATTTACCATTAAGTCTCGGAAGGCAGATGGGGGATGTGAAGCATGTAACACATACAGAACCCTGCACATGTTTCTAACACTGTAATGGTCTTTATTTGATAGCACAAGAAATACATAGATCCATACAAAAATAAATTCTACACACATTTCCCTGCCGCAGTTTCCTCCCCACTCCAAAGCATTCTTTGGTCTGAGGTTGAAGTCACTTGAATAACCCAGAGTCCTGTTCCACTGCCTGGCTTGTCCTGAAACATGGATCCTTACTTCCTTAAGTCAGCTTGTTTCATTGCCATTGGTCAGTCTGACCCCTTCCCTTCTCCCGCCTGGACTTCCTGTGTGTTGTTCCCCAAGCTCCTTCTGTGTGGTTCTGGGTATCTGTTTATGTATCCCCCTACCACCATGTGCCTTTTTTTGTTCTGTATTTTGGTAACTTTCCATTGCTCCAAAAACCTCTCCCCTCAAACCAGAAGGGGGAGCGTAAATGTGGTTTCCCCTAAGATGTAGTTACTCTGTAGCATAACCATTAGGTGTCTTAAAGCTGAGCATTTCCCGTTGTCTTCAGTCTGGTGTGTACATGCTGCAGGCCCTGTCCACAATAGCAGATACACATACATAGGCTTTCCATGATACAGAAATTCCATGATACCAACTTCTCATCATCAACCAGAATTCATGAATTGTACAGACAGATTCCACAATTCATCACACACAATTCCTCTGCTGCATAGTGCTGACCATTATCAGAACTAGTCAGCCCAGTACAAGCCAATTTATGTGGCCTATGGGCACCTACACATCCTTCCTGCCATGTAAATTAGGAACTGGATTGGGTCCTAAATACATAATTTCATAACTATTACAGAAAAATAAAAAACATGATACTAAAAAAGTACTGTGATATTTAAATACCCCATAAGATTCCAGTTACATATTTACTCCACAATATTTGAGATAATAAAATATTCTCTCATGGTGTCTGGCTCTAGACCACTTGAAATTCAACATTTCATTATTAGACAAACACAAATACATCTATCATAAAACATTCAGTTTACACCTGTTATTTTAAGTGCATAAAGCTTTACATGACAGTCCCCAATTACATATTTAATTTAAATCTGTAATTTAAAAAAAATGCTACAAACTTTTATTGAAGATTAGCAGCTATATTATATACAATAATCACTCAAAACCTTGCCAATTCTCTTTGGTAACTCAACATTTCCTCAGTATGTGCAGTATATGCAGCGTAGACCCCTGTACAGTAAAGACAGGGAAGTAGAGGCCATTCTGCAAATACTGAGGTACGAGGATAATTATCTATCTACCCTAATGCAAAGGTGATAAATATGTAATGGAAAACACCCTGTCCATCACATAATTAAGTTACAATGGGTGGGATTTTCAAAGCTCTCAACATAGGCCTCATTCTGCTTTTATTGAAGTCATAGAATCATAGGACTGGAAGGGACCTCGAGAGGTCATCTAGTCCAGTCCCCTGCAGTCATGAACTAAGTATTATCTTGACCAAACTATTTGCTTCAACAAAGAGCAGAATTAGGCTAATGCTGAGGACTCATAAGTGAGCCAAATCCTTGAAAGCAGGCCAAAGGGTCTACTCAGAGTTATTGGTTATATGGTAGGAGCTGTGCTATCCCCACATTGGACCCATTTAAATTTCTAGTATATGAGATGGGTGAACATATACCACCCATACCCAGTGTTAAATTAATAGCGTTGTGGCCTGCCAGTTAAAATCCATTCCAGTGTCTGTCATTCATCCATGTGTCCTCTGAACAAACCGTCTTGCAACTGGAATGACAGTGTTGCAGTTCAGAACAGAGGTGTTTTAGCACAAACACTCTAGCCAGTGATTATACTGAGTCACTTTCAAGAACAACAAACATAATATTTTGATAAGGAAAAAAAATTAAAAATGTAGTAATGAAAAATTTACAAAAATATATGACTAAATTATTGATATACTAATTTAACCTAAATATTTGCAATATTTAAAAAAGTTTATCTACTTAGGTAGATGTAGGTATTTATGTGGCATTTGAGGTATGACAAAGTAAGAGGCTTTATGTATGTCTACAATATACATAGTAGGAATAGAAAGTTCTGAATTCTTTACTATGTATATTCCATAGCTATTTGCTTTGTTATTGTAGCTGTGCTGTTCCCAGGATATGAGAGAGACAAAGTAGGTGAGGTAATATGTACTGGACCAACTTCTGTTGGTGGAAGGTACAAGCTTTCGAGATAGAGAGCTCTTCTCTGTGTAGCTTGAAAGCTTGTACCTTTCACCAACAGAAGTTGGTGCAATAAAAGATATTACACCTCATTACCTCATCTCTCTATGTATATTCAAGATATGCTGCAAAATTTCAGAGACACTGAGTTCAAAGGATTTAGGAGATACACATTCTAGTCATGCTATAAATCAGTGTTATTTAAGAACTCCTGTGGTGCCATTTAAAAGTTCAATATTTTTCCTCATTATAGTTTAATGGAAAGAAATCAATACTTGCTGAAACAGTGTACATTCAACTAATTAAATTCAGTATCATTTGATGAGCTTTTTTGCATCTTGTTTATTGAATAGTACATGAGGTATGTATCTTCTATAATATTAGAACCTTCAAGGGGGTTTCAAAGTGTTTTTTAAGAAAACTGTCTATGAAAAGATTCTTATTATTTATCTTATTTTAACCTTTCTTTCATACTCCATGACTTTTTAACCAATGGATCAAAGAACACAGATCACAACCTGACTCTCAGAAGAGATAAACGAACAATGGACAAAAAGGTCATTCCACACACTGATTAGAATGGTTAGCTCTTAAGAGACGCTCATTTTTTGATTCCAAATACATAAAAGTAAATCTTCCCTGCCATCAAATCACACTCAATAATTCAACTGCAGAGATCACTTGCTCTGAAGAAAATATGCTTATTTTATAATTGTCGTGCATTTCTGATGTCCTTTAAATGTCACTAGTCTTTCTGTGCATTAATATTTTGAACTGCGGATTACACTGTTTGACTTTTTACTCATTTTCCTCAAAATTAGTAGTGATCTGAGACACAGGGCCAGAAACTTCCCCAACCACCACCCTGAAAGCATTAGTTAATACAGTCTTCTATAGAGGATTTATTTGACAATCCACTTATTAGTCTGAAAATCTTGTTATATTCTGGAAGAAACCATTGTTAAAAAATAGAGAAAATAGTGATTGCTAGATATGGCTCAAATACCAACTTCTGAAATTGGCCAACGGCTAGGTATGATGGCTCTCAACAAGGTGAAAAATTGAAGATGACACTTTGACAGAACAATCTTCTGTTAATCTTCTGATAACATATGGAGTTGCATTGTCCTTGTAATTAATTTCATATTTTTCAGAAGAAATAATTATTTAGAGAAATGCACCTTAGGGTCCTGAAAATAAAAGCTTATGACAAGTTGATGGTCTTTTTTTTCTCTTTCATGTTTTTCTTTTCATGAATACTGACAAAGACTTTTGATCACTATAGAGCATATTTAAAACACTAAAAACAGCAATTAGATTCTTGTTTGATCCTGTACGAATCTATCTTCTTCATGGCATTTTCGGCCTTACTCGCAAATCATAAAATACGATGTTTTGAAGAACATGGTCAAAAAAGTTGTTGCTTCTATTATTTGGAGCAGGAAGAGGATTTATATCTTCATTTACTGGACTTTGAGTTGAAAATATGATTGATAGTGAGAATTTATTAATTTAAACAGGAAAAACGACATAAAATTACTTCATTTTATCTAATATTTAATATGGTAGGTAGTTCATATGTTCACTCTCATACATTATGAAAAAGTAAAAACATAAAATACCTGTGTGAAAGTTGCAGCTTTCTCAAAGATTTTGCTGTCTACATGGTTAATAAAATTTAAAACTAAGTAAGCATTGACATAGACCATAACAGACTTTCAACTTAGAGAGACAAGGTAGGTGAAGTAATGTCTTTTATTGGACCAACTTCCGCTGGTGAAAAAGACCAGCTTTCAAGCTTGTAAAGAAGCTCTTCCCTTGAGGAAGCGCAACAGCAACGCAGCTGTATTGCTGCGG